CTGAGCTATTCAGGAGTACCTGGGGCTGATGTGAAAATTCATTGCTGGGCTTATCTGCACTTACCAATGGGCAGATGGCAAGACAGTGTGGAGAGAAGCCAAGAAACCTGCTGAGAAGGTTCACATTTCATGCAATGTCAAGGGATGTCTTAGTGCTTACAGACTGTTCAAAGCTGATGAAATATTATAGCTTGTTGTCCTGCATGATTTGGGAATCATGCATGGACATGACTACTGGGTAGCCCCCCTAAAAGACAAAGTCTGTTAGCTTAGGCATCAGGCTAGTCAACCCATACCTTGGTTTCAAACCTTGGTCATATAGTTCAGTTTCCCCTTTGTGATTCATGAATTTATTATATCTTGAAGAAAGTCATTTGTGAGATGGGAATCACATAATGACCTAGTTGATATTGTGAAGCAAGAAGGTTAAGGTATTGCCTTGCCTTTGGCTTATTCACTTTGGCTAGAGAAAACCATAGAGAAAAGTTCAAAGCCTAACAAAAACCTATCTAAAAAGCCTGTGTTTTGTGTCTTGTTATTGTATTATTATTTCTGAGTTGTTTTCTCTAGTATTTCCTTGATTTATTTTTCTATTGGGATGCTCTGACCCATCAGATACTTCACAAAAATTGTACCTACAGGGTATGATGTCATAATGATGTCATATGGCTCCACAGATACTCCTGCAAGTATTCTGTTGAAAGTTATGATGTCATGATGATGTCATTTGTTCTGGAATATTCTGCTCCACAATGACTCACCTCTGATGTCATTACTCCACCTATGGAATATTCTGGAATGTTCTGCTCCACTTCTGATGTCATTGCTCCACTTTTTACTTACACAATATTCCTACACAAAATGTATATAAGGAGGGCCATTCTCCCCCCAAAAAAAATAGGATCTCCCACTTGCAATCATTTGAATCTCAGTTTGAGCTACTCACTGTGAAGATTGCTGCTTACAAAGAAAGCCCCTTTGAAGTACCAAGTGCAGGGAAAAGACATTCCCTTGAGATTACATAAGTTTCTTATGATAGAAACTTAGTTTATTTGAGACCAGCTTCTCACCTAGTTTTTCTGATATTGACCAACATGAGCTTTGGTCAATCTGTTCATTTGTGAGACCTGCTTCTCACCTAGTTTCTGATATTGACCAACACGATGTAGGGAATGAGATTCCTCCAGGCGTATATCGCCCATATTACGACTCATGACGATTGGTATAGTGTACAACTCACTACCCATGACTTTCCCGCAAAATGCGCCAGAGGCACGACACTTTCCCACATTATGCGACGCATTCCTGCACACGCGCTTAGTGCACTCTTCCCGCACTTGGTCGCACTTTGTCGTGCAGCATCCCAGAGCATCCATCCATCGTCCAACCAGTTCCCTAGTGAGTCCTTTCCTGTTTATTCTCATATCAGACCATATTTAGTATTTGTATGGCATTATTTCATCATGGACCCTTATTTACATCATTTACATACATAGAGTGCTCCCTGTTCGCTTCCGAGCCCTGGGAGCACGCCTAGGCACAGCTTACCTGTGGCCTAGGAAGTTTTCATATACCTACCACCACGAGAGAGATACACCAACCACCATCAGTCTAGTAGTCATCTAGCAGTCAGAATCTATCATCTTCAGCCAGTATGCTTCAGTCGTCGCCCTAGTCACCAGCAACAGTCCATTATCACTCAGCAACCCCAGTTCACGCCTTCCATCAGTCTTTACACGTCCGCACACCAGTTTGCACCTTATTCCCACACTTCGCGCTCCTACGCGCTCCATATTCCCGCGCATGCGCCCCCAGTGCGCTTCACCAGAGTTGACCTGGTGTCACTTTGTGGATTTGCTTTCCTTGCTTCCCTTAAGGGTCGAACATATCGCCTGGCGCACTTCGACCAACACTTAGAGAGTCAGTAGCCTTCCTCACACCCCAGAGGTAGAGGCATCTTTCTTTCTTTAGCTCTGCAAGCCTAGCAGAGTTGTTGAACCTTCAACGAGCTTTGGTCAATCTGTTCATTTGTGAGATCAGCTTCTCACCTAGTTTTCTGATATTGACCAACATGAGCTTTGGTCCATCTGTTCATTTGTGAGACCCACTTCTCACCTAGTTTACTGAAATTGACCAACACAAGCTTTGGTCAATCTGATCATTTGTGAGACCAGATTCTCACCACTTTGTGCCTATTTGACCAACCAGTCTTTGGTCAACATATTCATATTTGAGACCGTAGTCTCTACAGAGAATTATCTTAACAAGGAACCATGTTCCAGTGTCTAGATGGTTTATCCTAGACAAGTTTATAAGTTGGGATATAACACAAAAGCTCTGGCTAAGTTAATCACATAGATTGGTTTAGCAAGCCTCCCAAGGACTCACACATTATCTACCATGAAAGAAGAAAAGTCGTAGACCATGTTAATTGAGGACCGGCAAGAAGTCTTATCCTAGTGTAATTGTGGTGTCATTACATTTTACACACATTTATATAAGACCCTCGGTTATTAAGACATCATGTTGGATGGCGAGATTCACCTCACTAAAGTTCTTTACTTCACCTGTCTAGCTGTTGCAGATGGCTTAGATGAAGATGGAGAACAGATTTTTCATTGGCAGGCCATGGCACTTGTCATGATGTATTCCTATCCAGATCATGACCTTCTTGAGCTCTCCTTTCATGCTGTAAGTTAATGCAAACCCATTGAGGATGATATTCATGTTGTAGATGTGAAATCCATTACTGATGTCATTGGCATGGTGCCCCACCAACCCAATCTACCATCTGGGGTGACTGAGGACAGATATTTTTTAGTTGAGAAGCCGGGACTCAATATTGCAACATTCGGGGTGGCTTACAAGGGTGCTGGTGAAGATGACGAGGCTCAAGACAATGAATATTAGGTGAAACATGTATTTAATTACAATTATTTAAAACTTGTCATCAAGAGACATGTCAAGTTTATGTTTAAGTTCCCACACAGCCTGAAAGGACTCATCTGTCCTGGAATGATCATAAAAACATGCCTCTTCCTCTTTTGTGAAGTACTTCCAATAGATTGAGCCTGGAGGGGGTGGACTTGGTGTTGTGAACTACTTTTGGTCAAGCTTGGGAGCAATAGGTTTAGGTGTAGTGGGTTCAGATTCTGGTTCTGTGACACTATCATCGCCACTGGGAAGAGCTTTTGATGGTAGAGGTGTGATGTTTGATGGTAGAAGTGCGATGTTTGATGGTCAAGGTGCGACATCGTCTGATTCCGGTTCTGTGACACTGTCATTGCTCAGGAGAGTCTTTGAGGGCACTGCATGCTGTCCTGGTTCATCCAATTCTGGTTCCATGACACTGTCATTGCTGCTGAGAAAAGCTTTTGATGGGAGAGGTGCGACATCATCTGATTCCAGTTCTGTGATGCTGTCGTCACTCAGGAGAGTCTTAGATAGGAGAGGTGCTATATCATCAAAGCTTTTAAATGCTAATTCAGTGTATCTCTAGACAGTGCAGTCAAATGATATACTTACATATCATCAATCCAATCTTGTAGCACCTCCTTTTGTGTGATGAGTTGCTTCTGGTCAGACTCAGCAAGAATGTGCTGCTTAAGAAGTTGACAAGCAGGATTATTGAGCCAGTATTCTTGAGCCAGTATTCTTGAGCCAGTATATCATTGTCAGATGGAGTCAAATGAGGACTGCTATCAGACACAGAGTGGCTGCAACAGTTGGTCCAGTCCTCGCTGAATAAATTAAGTGTGTGAGTCCACAATTTACTACAGGTTAATCTGACCTTATGGGCTCTTTCTGAAGATATTCATTGAGGTCAGAGTCTGATGGTAACTTCAAGAAAAATTGCACAACATCAGGGAGGTCCATAAGACTTTGAATACGAGAAATGAGCTTAATTCAAATACTTGGGAGATTTCAAGTGATTTGGATATTGCTGAAATGTCAGATACACCAGTGGGTAGTTATGACTTCATAGCGTCTCTTCATACCACCATCATGTCAGTACTATCCCCACCCTCACTGGCTTCACCAGGGTCTTTCTTGTCTTCATCTCTTTCATTGGATCATTTCTTGCAGCATTCAAAGGATTACCTGCAACAGAATGTAAGTATCATATTGCCTGTATCATATGCTCAGAATATCTTCATAGAGTGAATATATGCACATAAAGGGTGGGTATATGCGCATGCCAAGTGCCAGCACTCCCTCTGAAATTTGAATCCTGCTCCTTCAGGAACAGCTCACTGGATATGAATCACAATGCATCAAGTTACAGTGCAAAATCGCAAGACTCACAGGAGAACATGATACTATTAAGTATGCTGTAGGGATTTCATATTCTGTGGGCTTGTATAGGCAGATATTACTTAGTGTTATGTTCGCACTTTTGGTGCTTATGTAATCATCATAGTTTTCACCATCTACCAGTACCAGTCTGAGACTGAGAGTTATTAGCATGATTTCCTACTCTCTCTGAGCACTGAGTCTAGTCCAGAAACCCTTTAGGGTTGAATAGCAGCTAGGCATAGCACATTTAGCCCAACATTAGAAGTCTACTTTCCAGTTCTCTTCTTGTTGTGTTTCCCACAACACAACCCTTTCTTAAATCTAGTATACTGACAACTAGTCTAGACAATCATTCCATGATATTGTACAGGTTCTTCGATTACCAAAGGATACGGACCTGCTCAAATTCATGATTGGCAATGTCATAGCAAGCGACTCACAGCAATCCTGCCCCACCAAAACTTCTCACCTGAAAGTACAGTTTTGGCTCCAATCTGACTACAACACATGGCTTGATTCTGCCATGGTCTTGCACATCAAACAAGGCACTGCTCCATACCTTGAGGAAGAGGATGGTACCTGCATCACAAATGCAACTCTCAAGTCTATCCACTGTAGGTGTCATGCAGCTTGGGCCGAACTTGTGGTGAAGAAACTCGTGCCACCAACATGGGTGAGGCTATGCACCTCTGGCCAAACCTTGATGTGGAGCATCATGGAGATGGAGTTTCCTCTGTTATGGCTTGACATGGATGGCTGGAAGTTGACCTTACTTTGTACAACTGACTATCCCAACTGGCAGAAATGCCACCTTGATCAAGATGGGAGCTGGAAGAACCCAGACAAGACTGCCACCAAACACAAGGCTATGGACAACAACAACAACAACAGCATGCACTCAGATACCAAGCCTGTTAAGGTTGTACTCAAGGGATAACTGGATCTGAAGGGCTTCAGCCTCAGCTCGTGCGCTGTGCCCCTTACCCAAGTATTGCCCCTTATTTCAGGAAGGCAAGACTAACACGTCCAGAAGGTCAGACAAGTATCATAATGGATCCAGATGACTTCTGGATGCAGGATAGGTATCGTAGGGCTAATCTGGACAAGTCCAGACTAGAAACTAACGGTAATAGACTGTTGGAGACAGAGGTGGATACAGATAGACTATAGGAATCAATCCTAAGTCTCAGAGGGTGACAAGAGTGGAGATACTCAAGTCCAGAGGATGGGAATGAGTAGACCTAAGATGATATTCGAACTGAGGTACTACAGAAAGTCATAGGAGGTTATATACTATAGATATCTAATGGAATGATCAATCAGCAGAGTCCAAGGCTATGTATGAAGCATGTGGATAGTCTATTGGTAAGTAGAAATGGATCACAAATCATGAAACGGAAATGAAACATAGGTAATGGATCAGGGAGCAGGACGGATGTACAGATAACCGAAATACCGGAGTTAGGGGGTTACCAAAGGGAGACGAGCGCTGGTTGTGGATTCGGATGAGTTGTGGACTGGACTGGATGAGTGGACAGATTGAATGACAAGATGTTGGAGGGAGATAAGATGTGGATCTGAGATGAGATAAGGGTCAGATCTGAGATCCAGATATGCAGATATGACAAAGCCCAATCGAGCACCAGTTTTCAAGTCAAAGGGTAAAAAATGCGAACGTATGGATGACTCCCTTGATTTGGAACTTGCTGATAAGCATCACAAAGGCATGTATTACTATCACCACTATACTCATCTAACTCTTTGTATAGTGTCTTCTCCCATCAACATATCTGATTCGGATGTCTCCCACAATGGCAATCACAGCCTTCTTGGCAGCCTCAGCAACAATTCTGACAATCAGTACAAGCCTGATCCACCTCTTCCTGCACTCCCTCCTTCCTCGCCACCTCATCACAGCACATCTGGCAGCCTCAGGAACAGTTCTGACATTCAGTACTATGAGCCTGATCTGCCTCTTCCTGCACTCCCTCCTTCCTCGCCACCTCGTTATGGCACCATTCTTCCTGGCATCCCACTCAGCAATTCAAACAAGGAGAATGTCCCTGTTATCCTCAAGAATCCCCTGTAAGTTTTTTTTTCAATCAATCAGTTCGTGCTAACCACTTTACATGATAGTGTGAATATCTTTGGTGGGCCCAGTGGCATCCCCAAATTCATCCCCACTCCAGCAATTCCTCTGAGCACAGACTCAAGCAAAGGTGGTCCTGTCAAGAGTGGGCCAACCACTGGTGGAGTTGATGTGAAGAAGTGCTCGAAGATGTGGCCAGGTTCTATGAAGAATGGAAGGTAAGTGACCCATTATTTGTTGATATTTCACTGACACATCAGCAGAAACTTATGTGCACTATGATGGATCAAACAGATGAACAAAAATGGAACCATGGACAAATTCAAGCTCTACTGGAACACTCTAGCAATGGCTCAGCAAGATGAATATCAAGCTGAGGCCAAGCATCTTGACAGTGCTGGTGCCTGGAAGAAGGCTTCTGATTCTGCTGTCGTCAATGGTGCTCTCCACTAGCACCCCAGCCATTACTATTGCACTACTCCCAGGCCTTTGTACACTGTTTTCTGGTGCCCCTCCCTCTCTGTTATCCCCACCACAATACCTGTCATCTGTCTGCTACTGCTGTGTTATTTCCCCCTGCATTTGTACTGTTGTCATGCTCCCATTATTGTATTGTTTCTGTGCACCCCCGCACCTGCTTTTATGCCGCTGCAATACCTATCAGTGCTAATATCATGCCCTGTCATAGCATGTCATTTCTTGTCATATCAATTGATTCATTTTGCTGTACTACTTTATATGGCATGATATGATTTTATATGAAAATTGAACCAAAAACATATGTTGTCAGAGGAGGGCATGCCCTGGCATGCAGTATATGTGATGCACCCCAACGACATATGTTGTGCTCCGATATTTTTTTAATCAAGAAAAAAAACAGACAATGTCCGTTCTTGTTGTACTACACCATAGGCAGTTTCTACTGGGCATCAATCTTGAGCTCATACAACTGGAACAGCACCACCCCTAGAGTTTTAAAGTTCAGTCTGGTCCAGTTTTTTGCCTCTATTTTAAGGCAACCAGACTAAAACTGGTGAGCTAGGACAAAAGCAATGTGATGGGAACTTGATGATGGTGATGATGTCTTACTCTATGAACAGAGCTGACTGCATGTGCTTGTTGCTGACTGAGCTATGTAGGTGCCTGAGAGGCTGCCTCTTGTCTCTATGTCTGTCTCTAGTCTATGCCCTTGGGACCCCAGCCCCCACTATAAGTGTTTATATAGGGTCAGACAGTGTTGGTTGCTATATGATAGACTCACTTTTCCAAAAAAAAAAAAACTAATGGTGTCTTACCAAATTATGCTCTGAATTTGTAGATTTACACAAAGAAGGTTCCTCTATATTCATGTATAAGCTGGCATCAGGAAGACTTGGGTGACTCATCCCCAATGCAAAGGGGAACACATATAATGTCAAGAAAGTGATGCAGAGATAATGGTGTCTGGTGGAATAGTGCTCTGAATCTATAGCTTTATGCAAAGAATGTTCCCTTGCATTCCATTACATGTTAGACATCAAATAGACTACAATGATCAATCCACAACATAATTGGACAAATTGTTCCCTGCTCCAATTATGTTTGATATTTTTTGTTTGATATTTTTAATGCCAAGATCACAAAGCAGAAATCATAGTAGAACTGTGCTCTAAGTTTGTAGGATTATGCATAGGAGGTTCCTTTAAATTCCATTACATGAATTGATCATTTCACTTACATATATTATACTGATTACTGACATTGCATACATTACCAAAGTATACGTATCATGGTCCATTTTTTCACGGGGCAGTGATGCACTGAAAGGGAAAGGCTGTGAACATGGCAGCCCTCTCGGGACTCGCAACACGTTTGCCAATATCAAGGAGATCTTCGTGCATGCAGGTAAGAAATAAACCTTCATGTCTGTCAGCAAGGTGTCCATATGCCACAGCCATGATTAGGGATGCCGCGTATCTGTTACAAGGATTGATTGTCAGCCAGACTTAGGTACGAAAGCTCGAGCCTCGTGTATTGCTGAGGGTCGCTAGTGGCATTTAAAAAATTGGTGACCGGTTGGCCGGCCCCCACTTCATTTGCATGGCGAGAGTACGTCTCGTGGTATGGGACCGAGACTTCGGCCCTAAAGACTTGATGAAAGATCTTGCGATGTCGCCGTGAAGTCTCACCGTGCAGAAGGAGTATAATATTGAAAGCCAGTCCAGTTCTGCATCGTCAGTGGACGCACCGATGAGGAACGGATGAAAACTGGCAATGTAACAACGTACACAAATGTCATATTTCTACGGTCCATCTCATCGAGAATGACCTGCATTCCATTGTCCAAGCTCAAGTCTCATGACACCTAGCTACGGTATCTGGTGTGGCTATCTACGCCGCAATTTCCTTGGCATCATTGTAAAGCGGGATCTCGCCAAATTTGCCATCTCCTTGGAGATCCGAGAACCGTTTGGTAGCCTCGTAGGACGGCGCAGCATCCGTGGGAGGCGCGATATACTAGTACATCGTCAGATATATAACATGAACAATTAACACGCATTCTTACCGGAGGTAGATTCTCGAGTTCAAAGCTGCTAGGCGGCGCAGGGAAAGAGACAGCCAGGATCTAAAGGATCCCAGGAGTATGGAATTGACGTTGAGCAATCATCGAGCCTGTAGTTGAGAGGTAAGACCTACAATCCCGTCCCTAAACATACCGGGCATGGTGACTTTCCAGGTGGGAATAACCGCATAGGATGAAGCAGATCGGATATCATCCTTTGCCCAGCGATCAATCATCTTGTTTACTCGCACACGACCCTTTCCAGAACTTGTTTCAGTACACCGAAGTGATAAAGAAACCAGATCAAAATTACCATGTATTTCCAGATAATAATTGGCAAAAACATGACGATCCAAAGACCAACTGTGACACCAAAAGCTATAAGCCTGGCCTGCCAGATGATCTGATTTTGACGGCCCTCGTCGATTCGTTCATCATTAAAATGATGAATGTAGTCGTAGTAAGCCACGATTGGAGCGATAAATGTCAAACTATAGTAGGAAATCAGAGCAAAATAGGGACAAAAAAAGAGACGAGTTTACATCATAGCTATGAACATCCAGGATCTTTCCAGCACTGGTTTGGAATACTGGGAAGCCATGCGCGTGACAGCACGTACACGAGTCTCCCACATATGGGGAGAAACCTAGAAGCAAGTGATGAGCATCTACGAAGTTTCTATATATAAAAGGACCGACATAGTTTTGCAACCCCATAGGAAATAGGGGAGGAGGCTGAGTATGCGATAGTTCCTAGAAGAGATGCCTTAACTATATTTGAGATCAGAGATCGAACTACACACCACCACCACCTCATTCTTCCTGGTCTTGGGACTGGACCAAAGGGCTAATGCAGGTCGCATCATGCCATCATACTTGGGAGGACTCAATGCCATTTCAACAGAAGTTAGGACGAATAAGCAAGAGCGAAGTTCAGATAACTGCAATAGATGGTCCCGCAACTTGAATCAAGACTAGCTCGCGATCAATGAGATGGAGGAATAATAGCAAGACTGAGCCTGTCAATCCTGTTACAAGGCCTGCTTGTGAGTGAGAAAGGGAAATAAAGGAGTCAGATCCAGCTCTGGGGGTCAGAGTGAGTTTTGAAGAGCTGCGCTGTGGCTGGCCAATGTAAATATAAGGCGGTGTGTGTCGTGATGGAGCAGTGCCGCAACAAGTAGGACCTTGTTACAAGTCAGTGGACTATCATGATGACGTAAGCTGGATAGCAACGTTGAACAATCCGTCACTGAGGATTCCACAAAAGGCGATTCTTGGCTGTAGTAACAGGCCCCCGTGCAACGTTC